TTGGTATAAAACAGTAACAAATATGCGATTTATGCGAGAGAAATGTATGTATTGAACATTCGATTAGTCGATTACAGATCTAATTTGTGTTAATTGAAAAAATTAATCATTATGTAACAGGCAATTATTATTTTCTAAAACTAATAACATACCTTAAACAAATATTTTTACTATTAAAATTACTCTTATTTAATAACACAAATACAACCAGCGGGCCTACCGGACCCGGGTTGCTCAGGTACACAGATAAAATGCATTGCCCCGATAAGCCTAAAACGCAGTGAATAGTGAATTGTGGTTTATGGTTTTTAAAATACCATCTTATCATGGCTTAGATTTATTACCCCTCACGATTATATTTAAAGATGTTTAAGTACTGAAGGCTACAATGTAGGAAATGATGGTATTTAAAATATGAAAATTTCCGTGACAGAACACTATTAGTGGACCTCTTACCTCTATTTTTGTTTATGTGACCAAAATTACCAAGATGAAGTATCAAAAATTACTACTAGTATAACTCAACTAATAACTACTGAAGAAAAGTGAAATAAAAAAATGTATCTGTATCTGCGCCATTAATTTTGTATCTAGATATAGATATTTTGTGCTTAAATTCGATTTTATCTAGATACAGATACTAGATACCCAAAAATGTAACTAGATACTTTATTTAGATACAAGTATCTAGATACTGCCCAACACTGGTTGCGTGTGGTATTTGTCGTGAGTCTTTGGGCATTTAAGTAGTAAAGTCTATATAAAGTGAGAGGTGGCACGTTTCCATGGCCTACTTAGACCCAATAATCATTTATAAAACCCTGTGTACTTAACAAAACTATAACTGCATTGAAATCTTTTAGAACAGATCATTAATTAGGTATTTAATATTTTAATAATTTATTGTAAAATTGGAACAGTTTTCTAAATTAATCAAAGAAATTTAACACTTGTTTATTATGTGTTTAATATTAACACAAATTAAGTAACAAATCTATAATTATGCATATTATTGTGTAAATATGTAAAGTGATAATTTATTGAATTGAATTGGAGGAAACTGTTTCTGTTTGATTGATTGTTTAGTAATTGATATACCGTTTGACATTTACATGAAAGTCATATTTCGATTGCTTTTCATTGATCTATGAGAACCTGATTTGCTCATCTTGTCCGAAATTTTTTTGGAAACGACTGTATGTACTTGCCGAATATTTCGATGAGGATGAAGAATCTGTTTCATTGGAGAAATCCTCTAGTATATTTTGTACCTTATGGGTTATCAATATCAATGGAATATTGTGAAAGGATGAGCCCACCGAATTGACAATTTTCTTGGCGATTTTTATTTTATTTTAAAATGACTCGTCAATATATCCTTCTGCAACACTTCTGGACGAACAAGGCCGTTTCAAGGTTAATAAATTACTGCCCGCATTAATTATGAGTGTGCGTGGTGAACGCTGGAAACAGTGTCCAGTGTAATTTTCTGCATTTGGTAACTTAAAAAACTGCGTAACTTCTTTAGCCATATTTCCGATTTTGTGGATTCCAAATACTTGTCTAGTACATCTCCCATTTTGGTAATTAAAAAAATCTCTTTTCGAACAGATTTTTTGGGCTTAAATTTTTGTATTTCTTATAAATCTCGTAAAAATTATGCGTTAGGATGAAGGATTTAGGTAGTTTATTCATTGTATTCCTTATTTTTTATGAACATTGCTGATCCTAAATCTTTCATGTTGTCAATTGTTAATCTTCAAAGTTCATCACGTCTGTAATTTCCAATCCAATAGCTATCACCGCCTATAAATTTCACTACTATATATAACTAGTTTTATTCTATAAAATTAAAAAACAATTGCTTCACAAGTAAAGATTTTTCATTCGGCGCATAAGATAAAAATCGACTAAAATCTGCTTCAATTAAAATTTTAGACTTCTTTGGAACGTAATTCTCTAATTTTCGCTTAAGAAAAGCTAGCAATCGCATGTATTCACCTATATTAATGTTCTATTTTAAGTTTAAGTACTCTTCAACATTGAAAACTGAGATTATGGGGTTGAGGATTTGTTGGATAGTTCTTTAAAGTAAACCAGTGTTGCGTTTTGCTCATAAGACGCTTCATACTTTTCATTGGTTACTTTCGTTCTCGCAAGTGACCTTTATTTAAACCCATACTTCCCTTCTAGATATTCCGCGATCGAGGTCTTTCTGGATACCCATCGCGACTTCCGCTTCCAGGCTTTTTTAGCGAACGCCGCCCGGCCGCCGTCACTGACGATAAGTCACCCATCATCGCCGTACATACTAGAACCCATAGGCGTCGTACCGGGGAGGCGTACGGGTTTATTTCGTAACACTATTAATATATAAAACAACCCACGCTGCATGGTTACGCAAAAGTTCTAGTAGCTTTGATTTTATAGAGCAAGAGCGATCCGTCCGACTTTTAATGGGAGAAGCTTCAGTTGATATCTAAAGAAAACGCTGGTATCACAATCCTCAGCGGTGAATCGAAGCAAAACAACTAACAATCTTGGTTATATCAAATGTCAAAGTATACGTATATTCAAATTTATTTTCACCAACATGGTTTCATGCTTGTAACCTTTACGCAATATTTGTCTGAATCATTGAATAATCACAAACAGGTTGATCTCTTATACTGGATTATAACTACCTTTGATCGTTGAGATCATTCTATACTTAAAGAAATAATTTTAATAATAATGAAAAAACTTTCTCTTCTGCCTGAAGACGGTACTGTGTACCGAAACACGTGTAGCAGTGACTACAAATATATTTTTTAAACTCTGAAAGTTTTTTCATTATTATTAAAATTAATATGGAGTTTAAACACGTATCAGCCTCATCAATACAAACCTTAAGAAATATATATCTTTTTGAGTCATATTTCAACAAACGACCTTTTTGGCAGCACAGGAGGTATAAATCATTAGTATTTCTACAGAAGTCAGGGGTACCACAAGGCTCGTTCCTGGGATCTTTGTTTTTTGCTCTTTTTATTATCTACTCGTTTGATCATCAATATTGCGTGTATCGCATTCACTGTAAGCTGATGACTTAAACATTTATTACAGTACTGATTCCATAAAAGTCTGATTTATATTGGAGATTGGCTTCGATGATATTGTAGCCTGGAGTGCCAAAACAAACCCTACTTAAAAATAAAAATGTCATATTCTCACATTCGAAAATCTTCTAATATTATTTGGAATTACTCAGTTGATGGTATTTACATTAAAAGAGGTTTCCAAGGCTTTGGTATTTTGTTCAATAAGCAACTGTCATTCAAAAATTGCATCGAATATATCATATCTTCTGGTTATAAAATATTGGATTAATGATACAAACCGGTCTTGGCATACTCGACAAATCTCTAATCATATATTCCATATTTTTACTTAACTTGCAAATATTCAGAGGAGACTTGCAAAAAATCTAATTTATACCATAGATGATAAACAGCCAGTTAAGGGTTACCCAATGATTTATTGTTCAATTTTTGTAAACTCAAGAACGTAATTTTAAGTCATCCCAATTTGACTTTGTCAATTCTATTTTATCCCTATAAGTTGAAATAAAATATGGGTCGACTACTAAATTACAGCTAAAGAAGTATGTCTTGCGTAGGTTTCAAGTGAGTTTTGTTGTAACAAAATTTTGCGATGGCGTCAACAACTTTTTAGCAAGAACACACATCAATTTGGGCAGGTACAGTGTCATACAAATAATAACGGTACTTTGTTCCCAAAATTTTGAGGAAACCATTGCAATAATTTGCTTCATTTATTCTTTTTTGAGTCAATAATCCTAGTTCTCGTATTTTGCAAATTTTAGATGCGATGTGTGTTGTAAAATTTTGTTTGTGGGGGGACATATAAATAAATTTTGATTAATGATTTACAATAGCTACGACAACCTCAAAATGTCTGTAAGATTTCAAGACATTCGATTTTCTATTTTCTAAGTTAAATTGTGTTATACAATAAAAATTTTGATATTTTTCCCAAAAAGTTTCTAAAAATATGAAGACAATGATCAATCGCAAGTATCGACTGAAAATAGTCTCATCATATATTTCACATTTTCGATAGGAATTATTTGGTAAAATTTTGAGACGACGGAGGTCATAATTTTTTTGGGGAGAAAAACACATATATTTCATTTAAAAATTTACTGTGCTTACTATACCTTTAAAACGTTTGCAAAATTTCGGTATATTCGGCCTTGCAGATTCAAAATTAAATTGCAAAGTGTTTGTTATACGCTCGGAAAGTAAAAATGAAGGAGGATTAATAAGCCCCACGTATGGAGATATTTTATTTTATAACATTTAAATACCATTTACTACGGAAAAGTTTGAAATAATGTCATCACATTGTTGCACATTGTTGGTAGGGAACAACAGATGACAGACAGGTGGAAACGGGAGACTTTTTTTCGTCCTCTAGGGATTATGAAACGTCGAGAGAACATGAAATCAACCGTTCGCCGGATGTTGCAATGTTTCCTTAGCTTCCGCTCACTGATGTTAATTTTCTCATTTAGCAAAATTTCAAACGTTCAGTGCTTCCTAAGCCTATAATGTTGCAGTTACCAACCCCCGATTCAGTTATCTGGTAAAAATCAAAACCTTTCCATTAATATTTCATTACACTTCTCTCCCCAACCCAAGAAAAGAAGAAACAACGATCCTCCACACACCAATCCCCCATAAATAAAAACCCACCGTGTACATAACTCATCTTTATTTCCCTTTCCGGCCGAAGCCCAACTTTTCTTAAACGTACCCTCGGGCAGCAAACACCCCCCGATTTCGAACGGCATACATCACACGTAGCATCCCCCGCCCTCTCCCGCCCCATTTTTCCGCGGAAACAATGTCACCACCGCCGCGCGCCTGCGCCCTACCCGTTGTTGCGTAAGAGGGATGAAAACGCGAAACCCTTTCAGTGGCAGCGGACGTACGAAGCGCGCGTTACACGTTCCTCCCCCGCGAAAACCTCCGCGATGAAAAAACACTGAAAAGGAGAAAAACCAACACAAAAAAATTCGACAAAATCGGAATGCCCGCGTGGTGGTGGTGAGGTTCAGTGCCGAAACGTTGTGACAATTCAATGGATAACTCGTTGCATCCAGAAGGTAAAACACGATTTGAAATTGGCGCTTTTTTCCGTCCTTGACTCGGTTATTCCCCGGCGCCTCCACCATTTTTGCGCGAATGGACTGACGGGACCTTGAGGCCAACACTATGAATTTATGTAACGTGTTCGATTAAATCACGTGGGATTTTTCGTTTTTTTTTTTGGTTTTTGTCGCCACGGCGACGTGTCGATACGTTGTATTATTCATCGGTGCTCCAATTATGAATTAGTTTTCGGGTGGTAGGGTGGCAAATGGGGAAGTGAGAAGACTAACAGATGTTGAGTTTTTTTTTGAGATGAATCGATACGGCGGCCATTTTGTGGTCCAGATTAGTGAAAAATTGATATATTCAATTATTTCATGATTTTATTTTGACGTCAGTGATCATTTGAATGGGAGTGTTTTTAAAAATGCGGGATTTGTTAAATCTTTATTGAAAGTAGTTCGACTACAAAAAGTTGGTTCAGTCAGGTAGTCAGCAGAACTGTATGATGTATTTGACTGAAACAACTTGATGTAGTTTTTGTTTGTTCAGTTATAAATTACAAAAGTTGAAATTTGGTTTGAATATTTAAATTTAAGAAAAAAAAAAACTATAAACAATTTTGTTCCGAGGAAACATGTGTCATTTTACGTGTGGAATCTTGCCTTGAAATGATCTACCTATCACCACGATGGATATTACCGATCGTGCTAGTTAACTCCTGTTTCTCAAATTAATGTCGCTTGAGAAATCTGAGACGTTTAATCTTGTAACTTCGTTTCGAGGTAAATAACCTACATTAACAGTCTGTCAATAATGTAAAGTTACACCACGAAATATCGGAAAACGTTAACTTCTGTGACGCCGACATCTAACTTAAAACAAAACATTAAAGATTGCCTGATTTGATAATTCCAGTAGAAAAAAGCTGTCAACACTTTACTTGTTTCTAATTTAGTTTAAAATTTTCACAGCGAGTAAGTCAATTAATTCTAAAATCATTGTCGAAGTCGAAACTTGACAACACTGCTTACAGTTACAGTTAGATGATGATCTCATTCCTATTTTTTTTATCATTGAACACACTGGATTTGCATAAAATAAAACACAAGCAAACTTGTCAGATAACGGACTCCTATCAAAACAGATCACAAATGGATTATATTATTCTGTGTTATCTTAGTATATTTTTAACTCTGGAAAAATTTCTGTCGATAAAAACTGGAAAGCATCGATATTTGGCTAAAACTGCAAGAAATCGATATAGTTTTTAGATCAGCTATATTTTGATGACGTTATCGATTTTTTTACTGGAAAAATCGTATCTTTTTGTTGATTTTATAAGGACAAAAACAGAAATAAAAACAGTAACGTTTATTTCGACATTTCATTACGATTTTTAAGACGTATTATATTTTGCGAAGAAACTGGATTTCTTTGAAATAAGCTGCTTTTACGTTGAATAGCTCAGTAACTAAATAAAGTTATACATACTTAGGTTCGAGTAAATCCTCAGTGGATTAGCGAATTCCGCACCCAGCATTTCCGCAAAGTCTATATTTGGTGTAGATTCCTACAGGATAGAATAACTGGAACTTATACTTTGTCAACGAGTCTGTCTCGAAATAATTATTTGAAATTTCTGGGAAACGATTTAGTCCCTATTATAATATTTGCGAATGATGACTGGTTTCAACAAGACTGTGTTACGAATTATTTCGTTTTTTTTTTTATGAACCACCTTTAACCTTTATATTAGTGCTTGTACAAATTCCTTGTGAGAAATTATATGGCACTCGCTTTACTAAAAATGTCAATTTACCGTTTAGACTTATCGTTTAAAATTATTTGTTATGATTTTTAGATTTTTTACAAAAGAGAAATTTATTGTTTTAACGAAAATTTTACATTTTTATAATCCACTTGTTCTTTTCTGATAAAACACGTACTAAAAAGTAGAGTTTTCATTAAAAATGAAAGCTATGATTAAAACATTGCCTCTCAGAGTCGCAATTTCAGTTCAGATGTCCAGAAACGTCCCAAAGAATTTTTTTCTACTCTCATTCATAACGGTCCATGCCCGAATTGCTTTAAATTGGTAAAAGTCAAATGTCAAATAACAAATAAAATAAACATCAAAAGAACGAGATGTAACTTTTAATTAGAATGAAATTTTACCATGGAACTTACCTACCATTATTATTGATATTAATTATGACATTGGGTGTGTTTTGGAAACTATATTAATGCCGGGTCAGGGGACCGCTAATCGTTTTACTGCGACGTGTTCTTCTAACTGCATCTCTGGAGCTCTAGAGCAACCGGACAAGCTTAGATTTCGGATGCCATTTTGGGCAATTTCTCGTATTTTCTAATTTTGAGGTTTTTACTCTAAAATAGCGTCTTATGAAACTTGTTTTTTCATATATTATTAGTTACAATCCATATTTCTTTTAGGTTACGTTGGTGACATTGTGGTCACTATTGCGTAAGAGAAATAAAAATACGAAATTCTTCAGCAAACGACGTACGAAACCTAAGTTTTGTTACAACAAAAAACTGGTCGAAGGTTATTTCGACAGAACTTCCTTCGCCCCTCAAGTACAACTTTTTCGAACATTTATAAAATTTCATTTTCCGAATTCTATTTTTTTATGATAGTTCCAATAAATTATTGTACTCCCAGTTTATAGTGGTTTTTATGACAAGGTAATAAACATTACCACCTCATTATTACCCCACGACGGAGATTATGAGTTGAATAACAAAATACGGCCCTGCAAGAAACCCACCACTTCCTTATTTATGGCTAGGGATTTACTCCATTATCAACTTCAACACAATGGAACTATCATAAAAACGATTTTAAACTGGGAAGACAATAAAATAAAGATATGTGTGTAGTAAAGTAAATTTAAAGTAGCATGCTATTCGCATGTTTCAAGTGAATTTTTCTATTATGAAATTTTGTGGTGACGTCATCAGCATTCTAGTAAGGACACGATTATCAGTTTAGATTTTCTGGAAAATTGGGTAAAACATTCTTGATTTAAGCAATAAAATAAATTGCCTCATTTATTAATTTTCTTGCGTCACTCTGCACAAGCAGTTCTAAATAAGGTGTTATTTACAACAACCTTACAAATCGGAATGCCATAGAAAACAGTGAATTGCTAACGGCTGCTCTGCTATCGAGGACTAGATTTTGCACTAATATAAACGCATTAAAGTAGATACGAGTGACGAGCACAATTTACGATTGTTTTGCTTATTTGTTAACATCTTACTTAATTTTTTGAATGAAAAATGTATTTCTTAGCATTTTGTAATTAAAGAAAAAACGAGATTTTCTGAATCCAGTCAAGTATACCTGAGTACTTTGTGTAGCACAGATTAGATTTTTATCGTCTTCTTCTGACTCTCTTGAATCATCTTTTGATCTGCTCGATTTTCTTTTTCCACAGCATTTTTCAGTATTTAATTCTAAAAATTTGTTAAGTATTGGAGTACTTTTGGTAGTTTTACTCTACTTGTTGCTTTTTCTAGAGGGCTGACCTTTAATGGAGGAACATCATATGTATTTGAACAACGATGATTGATATCATATTGATATAGGGTTACAGTGAATTCGAAGTTTTCTGATTAGCCAATAACAATACAGTTTGTATATAGAGTTACAGAAGAGTAATAATCTTTGTTTGTGTGTGTTGTGTTACATGTTTCAACTGAATATTCAGATATTGATAGTCTTCAAATCGTTGTTACGTAAATTAATAAGTAATGGAGATAATTTTATTAGACAATTACAGTTGGTTGTGAATATAAATTGACAAAAAAATATATCAGGTGTATGTTGAGCACTGATTACTATACAACAAAAAAGAACAAGACAATCGACGATGATAGAATTCAACACATCAGTGTGTAATTAAGTACATCTCTAAACTTAGAGAAGTAAAGTTCCAATTGTTATGGTCATTTGAAAAATATAACTCCGAGCGTGGTTTTATAAAATGTAATCGAACACTTTGTTGCTAAAATATTACTTTTTCATGATACCTAGAAGACGAAGAAATAGGTCTCCCGTTTCCGTCTGTCTGTCCGTCTGTCCGTCTGTCTGCCGTCCCGGATTTTTATTAGACAGATAATCTCCGAAAGTACTGGACCGATTGTTGTGAAATTTTGTACTTATATTAAGAATATCATGTAGATGGTAAAACGCTAACCAAAATTTGTCTAATCATCCCCACCACTAATGCGATGACGTCACTTCAAAATTGTACATAGTAAATGGGTTTTAAATTGTATGAAATTATTGTGATTTATCATTCCATTCATATTTTTTGCATTTGCATATATACAGGGTGACTCAAAAAAATTAACAAATGAGTGAATTTATTTTATTGATTTAATCAGGAACTACAAAACCGAATACTTTGAAATCTTGTAGATGTTTTAAAGTTGTCATAGGCATGATAAATTTATACTCAAAATGTATTTACTCATCCCCCCTAAAAAATTGACGACGTCACCTCAAAATTTTGCTGAATAAATCCTATCTTAAATGTGCAAAATATCATGAGTTTGTAGTTGTGATTTATTATTCCATTCATATTTTTGGATTTGCATATACAGGGTGACTCAAAAAAATTAATGAATGTGTGAATTTATTTTATTGATTTAATCAGCAACTATAAAACTGAACGCTTTGAAATCTTGGACATGTTTTAAAGTTATCATGGGCAAGGTAAAATTTTGATCGAAATGTATTTGCTCATCCCCCCTAAAAATTTGATGACGTCACCGGAAAATTTTGCTGAAAAAATCCTTAAATATGATGAGTCTATACTTATTACTACTTATTATTTATCAGTGCATTAATATTTTTTAGATTTGCACAGGGTGTCTGAAAAAAATTAATGACTGAGTCAATTAATTTTATTGATTAAATCATGAATTACAAAAATGTAATACAAAAAAGACATAATAGGCTTGCAGTCGTCACGTTCCCGAC